AGGTCTTCTGGTTTACTGTTTTAGCACAAGCTTTATCGCCGTCATATTTTGTCTAGGCTTGCAGTCTGCTGTTTCCTGAAGGCTGGATCCGGCAGAACAGCCGCCTTAGTATATACCTACGGCCGCAGCTTTCACACGGTTCGCCGCTCTGAGTGTGGCTTTGACCGCGGTTTTGGTTATGGCTGGCTTCGGGGGCGGTTCGCACGCCCCCGTACGGCGGATTCCGTGGTCTGAGACCCTGATTACTGGCTCTGTCGCCGGCAACTTCTGATCGATCATCGTGACTGGCCGTCCGTGTGTGACGTCATTCAAGGTTTGTGACGTCACTACATTATTTGACGTAATCTGCTAGTTAAGATGACATGAATATCTGTGGTAGGAGTCAGGAGACATATCTCTGTGCTTTCCAGAACTATCTCATGATACGCGGTCGCTCTGGCACTGACGCCATATGTGATTCGTCGCGCTGCTCCCACCTCAACTCGGCGGTTGGAGTTGCTCTCAGACCACGACTGCAGCAGATGGCCCTTCGGCAGACGCCGGGCGGCGGGCTCCGAGCGAAAGTGGGCCATAGTGAGGCAGCACGGAGCTCATCGAGCCAGTAACGGCATCTCACAGACGGCGCAGGTCAAGGGCCAGTTGGCCTCCTAATCTCACGGTGTCCCGCGCTCTCCGCCGTATGTTCCTGTCTTCCACCCCTACCGGCGCCGGAGGCGGTGTTGTTACGGGGAGAGGTGAATAAGAATGCTAAATTGCCATCTCATCTTCATCTAGTCACGCTGTAAAATCGCGAGTAACCTTTCCCGAACGCTCCAATAGCTTGGCATAAAAGCAGCGTACACCGAGGCCGTTTTTGCACCTCAGAGGGCTGTCATAAATTAGAAATCAGCCCTTTGTAGACTCTGGCCCGCCTCCCCTACTCCCTTCTTTCCTCCCTCCCTCTCCCCGCTCTCCGTCTTCCACCTCGGCTCTATCTGGGAAGTGATCGGTGCCGTTTTATTAGAGCCCGGAATGTGACGCGCTGGTTCACACAATACCAACGGGAGGGGGCCGACACCGAAATATACGGCCCCGTGTGAATGGACGACCGGGGGAGGGTTTTAAACGACCAATTAAAACCGGGATCGGACGGGCGCAGAAGGGGTCGTGCTGAGCCGTGGCGGAGAGATTCGTACGAGCCTGCCTGTACAGTCGTGTACAGGTTGATGGTCCCCTACTCTTTATCCACCGGGTTCCTATGGCTCAGCATTGGCAGCAGCCGCCTGGTACCGGTAGGCTGTGCCGCATGACCCGAGAGTGAAGCGGCATAGTCTACCCACGCCGTTTGACATCGGCTCAGGTCGCCGGGTGGAGCGCTTTGTAGACCAGCTGTCGCGTCAGACCAGCGCGGGGGGAGGGGCTCGTCTCGGTGGTTGGCATGGGCTGGCGAGTGGTGTGGGGCGTGTTGGTGGACCATGGGGGCTGGGCGGGTGTGTGTGGTCAATTGCTGCATTGCACATTTTGCGTCGCTTAACAATTGCATTCCTTTTTTTGCTAAGCACAATGCACGGAAGACCCAGCGAATATAATTTACTTGTGCATTGTGCAAAACGTGATTTGGCATGGTATCGAGGCAACCATAGGTCTTGTGCCACATATATGCACGATATTTAGGCAATACGCTTATGAAAATGGTAGATTGATCGGATTGATCCTGGATGTCAATTCGTATGCTAAATGTCGAAATGTATTAAATGAACGAATGAATGAATCAATCAATCAATCGACAACCGACATGTATGTAGATATAAAACCGTATAAATGGCTCGCAACCACTAAAATCAAAACAGATCCTAACTCGGAAAAGTAGCCGGAGCCCCGATGAGGCTCGAACCGGGACTCCACGTTGAAAGTTTTGCCAATGATCCATCATCATTCCACCAAGCTAGAGCGACCGGCACCCGAAACCACAAAAGCATTCATTGACTTTGCTGCCGACCTCCCGGCCCCGCCGCCCGCCCGGCCAGACTTTGCCGGCAAAGTCTGCACGGCCCCGGCCGTGGCCACCATCCGGTGTAGCTCAGCGTAGGAGTGCTAGACTGTCAAACTGACCGGTAGTGAGAGGCCCGGTTCGAGACGCTTCGCGTGCTGGGTGTTTATTTCTGTGTCCGAGGCTATGTTATTAGTCCATTTTTCAGAAAGATTATTTGGTGACAGGTCTGTTTTCTTTCTTTGCTGCAATGCATGAGGAGACCGTATGGACCCTTACCTATCCTTCCGCACCCCACTTGGGAGATGGGTGTTTGAACCCCCCTGGGTTTTGTGAATATCACTAAAACGAATTTTTGGAGGGTGGATTACGATCGGTTCTATGCGACAAGTGACCACGCACACCCAGCCCCAGGTCCGCTCACTCCCTCCCCACATCACCCCCGCCCCACACCACACTCCAGCCCGCCTCATCCACCGAGCCGAGTCAAATAGACATGCCTGACCTTTACCCCCCCCCCCCTCCCCCCAGCCGGTGTAACGCAGCGTCCGGTCAAATCGCTCTACCAGGCGACCCGAGCCGGTGTCATACAGTGTGGGTAGGCTGTGCCGCTTCACTCTCGGGTCATGTGGCACAGCCTACCGGTACCAGGCGGCTGCTGCCAATGCTGAGCCATAGGAACCCGGTGGATAAAGAGTAGGGGACCATCAACCTGTACACGACTGTACGGAGGGCGGGCCCTGAATGTGCGTGCCCTGATATGGTGCTGAGGAGCGATGCTTATAGGATTTGGACTCCGCGTGAGCCGGTGACACCCCTGACCTTCCTCAGGCCGGCGCGGGGTGGGTAGCCGATCGCGCCGGCCACCAGTCAGACCAGTGCGGTAGGTAGGTTGCGGCTCTGCGGCCTGCGATTCTACGTAGATATGACATCCGTAATGATGGGGCATTACCCTGTTGTCACATTGACGTTCTAAGAATCAAACTTGCTCTGAAGTAGCGAGGTATACCTACTTCCTGGTCCATCAGTGCCGGTAGACATTTTTTACCGGTGAGCTCAACTCGGCTGGGCTGGTTGTTGACGCTCTTCGGGCTCCTGCTGCTCCGGGTAGCACAGTGGTGGCGAGATAATTGCCGAGTCATCCGCAGTGATTGGATGTTTGGTGCTGAGGGGATAAACTCCCAGCCGCACAAAACATGGCGCCACCGGGCAAACTATGACTCCGTCGGATAAACACTGGTCGTATCTAATCACCGTGGCTATGTCAAATATAATTACCGTTTCCGCTGGCTTAAATGAGGCCCCTTGGACCAAGCGTCAGCTTTGTCTAACGATGGTAGCTCCTGGTCCTGGGAGCTAGAAAGCTTCCCGTGTTCCGTCTTGTCTTTCGGCTGCCGTCTGTCTCTCACCTTTTGTCCGTCTCTTTCCGTCTGCCCGTTGTCCTTCCTCCGTCCTTTGTCGTCTTCTGACAGCGCTATCCGCTTGGTAGGGCGTCATAGAACTGTGTGATAGGACATATGACATTCGAGATGATAGACGAAACCTGCGAGCTGACTGCCGGATGCCCTTTTTTATATTCTGTTCGGCTGTCTTTGTGGTCAAGGATTTCTTCGTAGTGACGCTGAGCCGCTAACAACCACATCAACATGACAGATGACACTGAAATGATCGAAAACTTCAGAAATCCTTTAATGGGGGGACGATACACCACGCTATGTAACATCAGTTAGTTCGGCAAAGACCGCCATCAAACGCCGCGTTGGGTCGCCTCGCCAGTTCGTGTTCTCTTGGCCACTGAAGTTGACCTGCTCTCGCTCTCCCCCTCACCCTCTCCCTCGCCCTCGCCCTCGCCCTCGCCTCTCCTCGCCCTCGCTCCTCTCCTCTCCGATCCCCGCCTTACACGTGACCGATCAGCGGCAGCGTTCGGGAGGCACGTCCCGACTTCCTCGGCGGCCAATGAACACCATTATCGACGCTCGACGCCGGCCCGGGCAGCAAGTCATCCATCCCGGCGTCCCATCCATTCGCCTCCTCGACAACTCTGGCGCGCCGACACTCGCTCAGTCGGCACCGCACGGGCGACAGTGCCGCTAGACGGGCTGGGACGCTGTCATTACCAGCTCGAGGTCCGTCACCTCGCCTCGGCCTACCCAGCCCAGTCGAGCCGCCGCGGCGGCGGAGGCGGAGTCTGAGCTGCGGCGAGTCCACGCTGGGAGTTCATGCCGGCGCTTCACCGGGCACTTCCTGTGCTCGCGCGCCTGGCACGGCCCGGCACCGGGAGGGGCGGATGTGAACTCAGGCATGGATTGTCTGGGATGGATACGGACACAAACGGGAACCGGCACGAAGACAGGATGAACATGGGCCGTGATAAGAGGATGTGGATGCTGTCGTAGCCGTCCCGGACGCATCATGGATATTGTGACGGGAGCTGTCACGGGATAACGGCTTGGGAAGCCGGCGGAGCACGGATCCCACACGGCGTCGGCGGCGGTCCGTGGCCCCGCTCCATCCGTGCCGGTCTCAGCCGCCCGCCGGCTTGCCTTTGTTCGCCGGGCTCCCCGCTGGTGTCCACTGTATAGCCCGGCCGTGGACCCGAGCCATGGACCGTGAGCTCTTCACCGCGCCCCGCGAGCTCCGCGCCGCTGTCACTGACCGCTCCCTGTGGGCCGCTCGCTGTGGGTCCAGTGCCCTCGACTCCTCAACAGCCACCTCCTCGCTGGAAACGTTTGCGACTCGCGACTCGTACCGCGCACAGCCGCGCCATCCCGGAGTTCGGAGGGGCCTTGGCGAAGCGCGGGCCGCGCATGCCTCCCGGTATTCTATACGGCGCTGCAATAACGCCTGATCTCCGGGCGCGCCCCAATCCGGTCGAACAATGGGCAGGAGCCTGTGTCTGCATGTCGGCTAGCAGCAGACAAGGCCGCCCGACCGTGGCTAGTCATGAGTGACGTCACACAGGTACCGTGGGGGGCGCCAGGTGATGTGGAGGAGGGGGAGGGGTCGGCGCCTGGAGCGGCGGGCCGCTGACTCAGTGGGTTGTTTCCGGGCCGCCGGCGAACGGTTCGCCTGCCGGGACTGGCCGGTCGGCCGGTCGGACCGGTGACTAGTCACTGTCAGTGTCTCCGAGCGGCCGGTGCTGAGAGGAACGGTGTCTGAGAGAGAGCGTGCTGAGACCGATACCGGACGCTGCGACCGCGAGCCAGCCATGCCGGAGGAGGAGGTGACAGGTAGGTTAAGTGCGGTGGATGAGAGGGTCCTTTGTTGAAATGCACGGCAGGAGGCTACCCCCCCCCCCCCCCCCACTCCCCACTTTGCTCACTCAGCGCTCAGCTTATAGTTTCTGGCACCGACTGCATTGCATTTGCTCGATTGGTTGCTCGTGCTCCCGCGTTGATAGATTACCCTCGCTAAGCATGTCTTGAACGAGTTTCAAAATGATCACTGATCACTCTCAGCAAATCGACAGATCCCGGATGCGGGATCTGTTTGATGCATTGGTCTGTTGATAACCGTGAGACCATTTGCCACAGAAGGGAGTGGTTGACATTGAGCGCGGCTGGGGGTGTGACTACAATTGGGTATATACTATATTTAGCCTCGGAGTCTCACGCTGCATATGAATTGGATGCGGGCTGGTGAGCTCATGCGGGTTCTTCCGTTGGCTGTCATGCAATAGGAAGCACCAACTACCAGTTCCTATATCCTGATACCGAATACAGGCAGCATGTCCACTAGCAAAGCTTGCTACTATTTTATTGATTAGGCATCCAACAAGCACGAAGCACTTGCCAGCAGTATCTTTCAACCATCCTCTGTTTTATTCGAATTGTTTTCATTTACACCCCTGGGTCGCTTGGCGGTTCTGTCTGCACTCTTCATGGGGCAAGGTGGAACAAAGAGCTCTGTACCCGCGGGCAGCCCGTCCAGCTGCCCCTCCCCTCCCCCTCCAGGCACCAGGGGCTCATCCCTGCCACACCTGCCCTGTCGGAGCTCCGATTACACAGGCGGCGGTCGTTCAGCGAACGAAGCGGTCCATGGCGTCAGCCCGCTGTGTCTGTGCCCTCCCTCCCTCTCTCTCCGGTCCGGCTCGTGTCGGGGGGATTTGTGGTGTCGGCTCGGCTGTCTCTGTCCTGCCCACCCTGCAGTCTCGCCCGGCCGCGCTGTTCCGGAGGTGTGGCTCCTGTCGCTGGCGTGGTTTTCCTCCGGTCGCGCCGTGCCGGCCGCCGATGGTTACCGTCCTGTGATGGTGACGGTGCTGTCGAGACCTTTCCTCCGCTCCCGTGCCGTATCGTTTTTCTGTGGGGAAAATTCGTCAGCGTTTTTCCCAACAGTGACATTTGTCCAGCCTTGTCGTGTAAATGTGACGTACGCTTTTTCTCGTCTATATTTCCCTTTAGTCGTCATTCGCATCATGTGTTCTAGGTAGTCGCTGACATTTCTTCGCCTTCTTGAAGCTTTACGTAATATATAATATACGCTGCTCTTTCACAATAGTTCAACCAATTCTTTAGTCTCATTCTGTTAGATTTTACGCTGTTCCACTTCTCATGAGCTCGTCTAAGCACTGCTTACCTTTTCATTCTGTGAAACTGGAATCGTTCAGTAAATTATGACGCATGACAATTGCGCAGGATTCCACCTCCTGAACAGAACACGTGTTCGATGACTGCGAACGGTGAGGCATTTTCCATGTAGGGGGCCTAATATGTGTACATAGATACATACGGAATCATCTCGCTGGGCCGGTGAGAGGAAGGCTTCCGGGAAGTGTCCATGCCCTACGGCTACTCTAACCGTGCCACGTCAGCTTCCGAGCTGAAATCTCGTCTGGCAAGTTGGGACATGCGTCACCAAGAACTCTCGGGCACTATGGGTCATCCAACGAAATGCTTACTTCATGTTAAATCAGCCTTGGAACGTGGACTAATTGACGATCGCGCTGCCAGTCACACTGATTCAGCTCAAACCGTGCGTGATTGTTCAGTGGTGCTTTTTATGCAATTCTGCGTGCCGGCATTTGTCTGGCTGTGTGAATGATGTGGTGTGTGTGATTGTGGGTGTGTTTAGTGAACGTGCTATGTGTGTATGATTGTGGGAGCTTCTTTTCGAGATCGCTGGCGTGTGACGCTTAACCACTGGTCCCCAATCAGTGGGTTCCGCAACCTGGTCATACCCGACAGTCACCGCTGATGTGAGGAAGCCGCTTGCACAACGCGACCCCGATCACCGCCAGATATGTCGGTCAAGTTCTCCGGGCTACCTTGAACGTGGAATGTGTGGGCCAACCGCTCAATCGGGTCACGGAACATTCATAGAGGATCGACGGATTGAGGCGTGAAGCGTCGGTGTGTTGCGGCTGTTTGCTTTCTAATCGCAGGATGCGTGAAATGCTTTCGAAGGACAGGCGAAAATGAAACCGAATTATATGGAAGGATGGATAGGTAGAAGCTTGAGGCTAATCCGGAAATCAGCTATCGCTATGAAATCAAATCGAGGAAGTTTGGTGCGTTTGGGTATGTTCGTGACCGGCGCATTAGGCCGTTTCTGGGTGTGGCTCCATGCTTACTCGTAGCTTATGTCAAGATGATTGCTAAGGCGTTTTATTCGTTAGTAAAAGGAGTAACGCTGTCAATCATATTTCAGCCCTATTGAAAGCGTAAAAAGGGAAGGGAGATGGCCCTTTTATTAGTGTGTGATGGACTCGTTATTGTATTACAGTGTTGCGTATAAGGGCTTATTTGAACTGGCGACCGCTCTGATACACGGATCTTCCTCTTTAGATTATATCTGGATCATCGCGATTATGTGCGAAAACGACGTATGTGTCCATACCTTCGTAATCAAGCCATTTTGAAGCTGCTAGCGTTGTTGCCAACACAATACAGTTAGTGCACTTCGTTTGCAGAAAACTTTTGCAGTCTTTTTAGAAAGTAGGTGGTTGTTACTCGTTCCCATGTGTTACCTAATGAATTATGAATTCCCTTTCTTGTGAGATTGAAAGCACCTAATCGCTGCACGCCAAGCAACGACCTCTTGTTACGTTGTTGTTATGCATTGGCATTGTTTACCTCGAAGTCCGCCAGCTGAATGACGGTTTTCACTTTACTGCGCCGCTGCTTACGGCCGCTCTGTAACAAACGGCCGTGTAGTGATAATAGTCTACCCACCGAGCCCCCTCGGGTCTGCACAGCTGACCACCAAACGCCCCCACTCATCATCGCCCTCCCCTCCAACAAAGACCGTCGCCGCTCACCTGCCCATTAGCGCTATAGCTCGTGTGGTCTGACCGCCGGCCGCTGGCCTGTGGAGTGTGGAACTGCCCGCCGTCCCCTCTCCGGCGCCGGCCGACCGGGAGCGACGCCCTGACGAGCGGGGAGCGCCGCCGGCCGGCGAGCGTTGACCACTGAGAGGGAGGGGAGGGAGGGAGTCACGGCCGGCGCCGCTCCGAGTCACGGCCAGTCAATGCCGACTCTGTCAGGCGCGACGAGCGAGCCGCCGCGCCCCCGCCCGGCGAGGGAGGGAGGGAGCGAGCGCCGACCACCGACCACCGCCCGCACCGCCCGGCCCGCCTCACGGCACCGACAAACGTGAGCCGGAAATGCACCGCCGTGTGATGAGGCCGACGGCAGTGCCGGTGCCGTGCATGTCGCCTAAGCGGTTTGACTTAGCGGGCTCCGATCTAAGAGGCTTATGGAGGACAGGAGGCATCCTTTGTTGCCGTGTTTGTGGTGTCCGACGGAGGCTCAATATGGCCCGGCCGGCAGGGTGTGGCTCTGATCCGGTCAGGTGGGCGTCGGTCGGTGGGACCCTCCCGTTCACTCGTTTGGTGTGACGTGACGTGACGTCAGACGTGATGTGACGTGATGTGAAGTCGGGGGCGTCCCAAGGGTTGTGACGTCGTCTTTCCTTCACCACCGGACCGTTTGGCGAAGGAACTGGATTAGCGTGGCTTATGGGAATGTTACGGCATTAGGGAAAGTTATTTCTGTGTTCATATGTGAGTGACACTATCTACGATTTGACTTTCCGTATCGTACACCAGATGACAACAGAATGTCGGACTCTGCGACAGTGTAGTTGGTGACAAGGTCTCGCTTTTTTCTCGTGGCAGTCCTGGTTCTATAGTGCGGCACCAGTGTATCGGAAGCCATTGCCCCTGCTGCTGTCACTCCTGTGTCACTGCTGTCAGACACCGGTCTCTCAGTGTCCGTCCACTGTCCAGTGTCGCCCCTGCCACTGCCGTTAGACACCAGTCTCTGTGTCCAGTGTCGCCCCTGCCACTGCCGTCAGATACCAGTCTCTGTGTCCACTGTCCAGTGTCGCCCCTGTCACTGCTGCCAGACACAGAGCGACCGGTGTCGCCGACCGCTACCTTGCCCGGGTTAATCGCCCTCCAAGGTCAGTGTCCCCAGAGCGGCGGCCGGCGCAACAATTCTGTCCACGGCGACGGCGCCGCCGCCGCGGCGGACAGAGCCAACTTCGAGCCGGGACCGGGCTCATTTGGAAGGGAAGTGGGCTTAGTGGAATAAGATAGTGAGAATGCTGATAGGCAGAATGCCGATAGGCAGCGACAGTGTTAGAGCTAAGTAGAGTGCACATCAGAGTCGCGCAGGGCGGATCTAGGCAGTGTTAAGTTTCCACTGCCCCATGATGGCCGAAGCGGTTATTTATTGTTGACGGACCAAGCTAGCCCATAGGTACTGTGGCAGCCAAGACACACTGTATAAAGCCAGATCACTCACGTCCCGTGCGGCTTCTCTCAAATGACACGGCCGCTGCCGCTGTACCGGTAATTCACCCTCTCCACTCTGTAACCACCCGCCGCCCAAGCTCCTCGCCTCCAGTCGGTCCGCCAACGGTCGCCTCCTCCGCGTCGGAGGCGGTGGTGGCGGCGGACTGGAGGCGCTCGACCTTCCCAGACCATTCCCATCATTAGCTGGGCCGCTCGTAAAACGCTCAGCCGCGGCCGCCGCGCGGCTCTGGGCTGGCCGGCTCGGCACAATGGCTCGCCGCTGACCGGTGACGGGACGGCAGCTCCGCGCGCGCCGACCGCGGCGGCGGCGGTGCGTGGCCGTTTTTGCCGGTCTGCCGACGCCGAAAGTGAGGCGCTGGGACCGCGGCGGCTCGGACGGCGGTCGAGGGCGGCGCGCTGGTCGGGATCTCGCTCCGCTCCGCTCCGAACGCCAGGTGGTGTGCGTGGGCCAGGCGCACCGCCCTCCGCCCCGCG